GACGACGACGACGACGCAAGAGCGCGCGCGCACGCTTTTGTTGAAAATCCGTGTTGCGAAACCATGGTTCTTTTTGTAAATTTTTGGGACGCACGATTTTGAAATCCTTCCGAAACCGATGGGTTTTGAAGGTTTTCGGCATACGCCCGCGACGTCGCGCGCGTGCGCATTTCGTCCAATTTTTTGCAGAAGGTTCTCGCGACGGCACACGCGCAAGGGCGTTCGACAGATTTCGACATGCGCGCGCGAAGCCCGTTTGGTAGCACTTTGTGAACATCTGGAAAAAAGAAAAAAACAAAAAACCTACGGTTTTCTTAAGATTTCGCAAGAGCTCGCGCGGAAGTTTTTTTAGCAAATCAGTGTTGCGAAACCATGTGTTTTTGTATGTTTTTTGGACGCACAATTTTGTAATCCTTTCGAAACCGACGGGTTTTGAAGGTTTTCGAAATGCGCACGCGACGACGCGCGCGTGTGCACTGCGTCCTTTTTTTTGCAGAAGGTTCTCGCGACGGCACACGCGCAAGGGCGTTCGACAGATTTCGACATGCGCGCGCGAAATCCGTTTGGTAGCATTTTGTGAACATCTTGAAAAACCTAATGGTTTTAAGATTTCGCAAGAGCTCGCGTGGAAGCTTCTTTAGCACATCAGTGTTGCGAAACCATGTGTTTTCGTATGTTTTGTTGGAAGCTCGATTGCGAAATCCTTCCGGCACCGAGGGTTTTTGAAGGATTTCGGCATGCGCGCGCGACGACGCGCGCGTGTGCACTTCGTCCCATGTGTTATGTTAGAACAAAAAATGTCACCGCTGAGTGTTTTGTGCAAGGGAACCTCAGGGGGGGAACCCGGTTTGGCTGGGATGATACGATTTCATAGTCAGGATGGACGGGTGTGCAGAATATATATATATATATATATATATATATATATATACACATATATACATATATATACATATATATATATATATGTATATAAATATATACATATATATAAATATATATATCGGAGGTGAGGGGGTGAGATCGAAGTGGAACGGAGAGCCCGCTTACCGGCAAATCGATTTCGGTTTCGTGTTCGTGCGAGCCGTGCGTGCGGGCGAGGCGAAGCTGCGTGGGCGGGCGAGGGAAAGTCTCCTGTGGCTGAGGCGCGGCCGGACCAAATGTCTCCCTTCCGGGCGGCCGGGGCCCCGCGGTGTCCCGCCGGTGTCCCGCTAGTGTCCCGTGTGGCTGAGGCGCGGCCGGATCAAATGTCTCCCTTCCGGGCGGCCGGGGCCCCGCGGTGTCCCGCCGGTGTCCCGCCGGTGACCCGATGATGATGATGAAGATGATGATGATGACGATGATGTTGATGTTGTCGATGATGGTGGTGATGATGTTGGTGTTTTATTTTGATGGTCGATAGTGAGATCGACAGTGAAACCGAATGTGAGATCGATAGTGATATCGATTGTGAGATCGAGCGTGAGACCGAATGTCAGATCGATTGTGAGATCGATTGTGAGATCGATAGTGGTATTGGTAGTGAGATCGATTGTGAGACCGAATGGGAGATCGATTGTGAGATCGATTCTGATATCGATAGTGAGATCGACAGTGAGACCGAATGTGAGATCGATAATGGGATCTATTGTGGGAGCGATTGCGAGATCGATCGTCAGATCGATTGTGAGATCGATCGATTGAGATTGATAATGAGATCGATAGTGAGTTCGATAGTGAGTGAGATCGATGGTGAGACCGAATGTGAGATCGATTGTGGTATCGGTTGTGATATCGATAGTGAGATCGGTAGTGAGACCGAATGTACGATCGATAATGAGATCCAAAGCGACTTCGATAGTCATATCGATAGTCAGATCGAATGTGAGATCGATTGTGAGATCGATTGTGTGATCAATAGCGAGACCGAATGTGAGATCGATTGTAAGATCGATAGTCAGATCGATTGTGAGATCGATCGATTGAGATCGATTGTGAGATCGATCGTGAGTTCGATAGTAAGATCGCTCGAGTGCGACGTTGGTCCCTTCCCCCCCCCCCCCCCCCCTCACCTCCTTATCACCCGAAGGGTGGTCGTATAGGTGTATATATATATATGAAATCGTACTATCCCAAGGGGAGCTGATAAGTCCGGGGGGGTGGTAGAGTCTATTCTCTTTTTAAAAAGGGGAATCAATCACTTGCTCATATTGCAGCTGTCCTCTCCACTGCTCGTGCTGCTCGTGCAAACATCCGGCCTTCCCACCCGCAACATGGTCGCAAGACCTCTTAAGACAAGATCGTGGCGGTGGGTCCAAGATGGCGCTTGGCCACGACACCGACGCCGACGACGACAGCGACGACAACGACGACGGCGCCGCCGACATCGACGACGACGACACCGACGACGTCTCCAACGACTTCGACGACGACAGCGACCACGACGACGACGACACCGACGACGACGACACCGACGCCGACGACGACGACGATGACAACGACCACGACGACGCCGACGACGACGACGCCGACGACGGCGACGACGAAGACAACGACGACGACGACAACGACGTCGCCACCGAAGACGACGACGAGGGAGGAGGGAGGACGACGACGGCGACAACGACGACAACGACGAGGGAGGAGGGAGGACGGCGACGACGCGAACGACGAAGAAGGTGGAAGGACGGCGACGCCGACGACGACAACGACGAGGGAGGAAGGAAGACGACGACGACGACAACAACGACGACGACGACGGCGACGAAATAGCACGGACGACGACGAGACGCCGACGACGGACGACGACGACGAAGGAGGAGGAGGAAGGACGACCACGGCGACAACGACGACGGAAACGACCACGACGCCAACGAGGACGACGACGACGAACACGAGAACGGAGGACGGCGACGACGCGAACGAACGGAGGACGGCGACGACGCGAACGACGAAGAAGGTGGAATGACGGCGACGCCGACGACGACAACGACGAGGGAGGAGGGAAGACGACGAATACAACGACGACGACGACGTGGGATGAGGAGGAGGAAGGACGACCACGGCGACAATGACGACGGAAACGACCACGACGCCAAAGAGGACGACGACGACGAACACGAGAAAAGACAGAGGACGACGTAGGCGACGACGACGACGACGCGGGAGGAGGGAGGACGGCGACGACGACGACGACGACGCAAGAGCGCGCGCGCACGCTTTTGTTGAAAATCCGTGTTGCGAAACCTCTGGTTTTTGTAGGGTTTTTGGACACACGGTTTTGACATCCTTTCGAAACCGATGGGTTTGAAGGATTTCGGCATACGCGCGCGACGACGCGCGCGTCTGCACTTCGTCTCATTTTTTGCAATGGATTCTCGCGACGGCACTCGCGCAAAGGGCGTTATAAGGATTTCGACATGCGCGGTCGCGAAGCCCGTTTGGTAGTATTTTGTTAGAAAAACGTGTAAAACCATGGTTTTCATATGATTTCGCAAGAGCGCGCGCGTAAGCTTTTTTAGAAAATCTGTGTTGCGAAACCATGTATTTTTGTATGTTTTTCGGAAACTCGATTTTGAAATCCTTCCGAAACCGTGGGTTCGTAAAAGATTTTGGTATGCGCGCGCGGCGACGCGCGCGTCTGCACTTCGTCCCCTTTTTTGCAAGGGATTCTTGGAGACTTATCACTTTTGATGAACGAGAGTGCGCGCATAGTATTTTTTGTAAAGGATGGCGGGGGGGAGTGATACCGGCCTGGCGGATAGTACGAATTCATGTTTAGGAGGGGCGATGGGGCAGAATCACATGCAAATTGCAATGCGACAAGGTGGATCGTTAACTCCCGGGGGGGGGGGGGGAAGAGTCAATCTTTTTTATTTTGGAAAGCAAGGAGAATTTACATTGTGCAATTTCGGCGGCGACGGGGCAAACGACCGACAATCAGGCCCAGACGACGGGCGGCGACGAGGCGGCGACGGGGCGGCGACGGCGACAACGTAGCCGCCAAACCGACATTCCCCCCAGACGACGGGCGGCGACCAAGCGGCGACGGCGACAACCAGCCGCCTGACTGAGACTGACAACCCCCCCTCAGTTCCTCAGAACAGAAGTAAGAGACCCTACGTGCAAGCACTGATCGGGTAAAACTTGTGTAATCTGTGTATATCTATAAGCGATTCAACGTCGTCCGCCTCGCGAATCTGGCACGCGGTAGTGTCGCCCTGGAGGGGGGAGGGGGAGGAGAAGGAGGAGAAGGATGACGTCATCATGCCCCCCTGCTCCTGCTCGCTTGTCCTTCTCGTCTTTCTCCTTCTCCCACTCCACTTCCTCTTTGTGCCCCCCCAACTTATGCCTCTCCTCCGCCTCCTCCTCCGCCTCCCCTCTCGTCCTCATGTTCCTCCTCCTGCCTCTACCCGATCCTCCTCCTCCTCCTCCGCCTCCTCCTCCTTCTCCTTCCCTAGACTTCCGCTGAGGCCAGGGATGAAACAAATGACAAGCCACACTGCGCAACTGAGCCGGCCAAGGCGTGTCGAGGACCGCCAGATCTACAGACCGGGCAGTCCGGCAGAGAAGCCTGCTGAGAAGGCGGTCTCTCTTTCCAGGCAGAGCAGCGCGCAAGGGGTGGAAGGAGGATCAAAGCTGGAGGATCATCGACGACTGCCGAGCGAGCAGGAACGGGGATCCAGAAAACATGACAGGATGGGACAGGACAGGGCAGCCCCGAGAGGAAGAATCTCGCAAGACAGCGCGGCCGGAGGCGGCCGCACCCGCGGGGACCCGGCCACCACCTGTGGTGCCGGGTCCCCGGCCACGTCGTCGGTCTTGACCCTGTCGAGGACGAACACCGTGGCAGGCAATGGGGGGAATGGGGCAAGCGGCCGCCGCTGTCCGCGGGGGGCAACGCAGCATCTCTGGCCCTTCCGGGGGAGCAGGGAGGACGAGGGACGAATCCGGAACGGCTGCAGCCGTCACCGCGTGCCTCCGCATCTTCTCTGCGTCCCCGATCCCCGCCCCGCCCCCTCCGATGATCCCGCTCAGGGCGCTCGAGGATCCTATGCTGAGGTAGTCCGGGCTCCAGATGCAGCTCCTCCCCGCGTCGCGCTGCGGGGAGGAGGAGGAGGAGGAGGAGGAGGAGGAGGAGGAGGAGGAGGAGGGAGGAGGAGGAGAGAGGAGGAGGAGGAGCGGCGGAGGGAGCAGGGGCGGGATGGGGAGGGCGCAGGAGCGACGAGGAGGGCGGGGGGTCCGGATGAGGAGGGGCAAGGAGAGGACGGGGAAGGGCGAAGGGAAGCAGGGAGGAGGAAACAGTGGTGTGGGAAAAGGGATGCGCACCTCCAGCAGTCGACAAGCGCCAAACACATCTCGTCGACAGCCTGCCCCTGGGCCGAATTCTTCATCCTAGATCGTCTCCTGGTGGCCAGGCAGAACTGCCAGGGCTGCGAAGCACAATGCGTCAGTCACTGGCACCACGCAGGTTCCGCAGATGACAAGGAGGAGGATGAAGGGGAGGAGGAGCACGAGAGAGTGGACGGGGAGAGCAGGGACGCCTAGCTACATGCACTGGCAGCCCCTCCTGGTCAGGGAAGGGACGGCCGCCAGCGTCAGAGGTTCGGAGCGGGGGGTCGCCCTGTGGTGCTGGGGCGCGTTCGCGTCACAAGTGCTGTCCAGCCGTGGCCAGGCGGGCACCGCGTGCGGCCCAGGAGAGCCCGATGGCTACATTACTGGAGGCGGAGAAGGAGGAGGAGGAGGAGGAGGAGGAGGAGGAGGAGGAGGAGGATCCTCGACTCCACGCTGCCGCTGCGGGTGGGGGCGAGGCGAGCGAGCGAGCAGATGGGAGGGGCAACGATCAGGGGGGGGTGTACTGGCTGATGGGGGGGGACGCATCGACCTGGCATCAGCGATACATCTCCGAGAGATCGGCGATGGGCCCCCGATGGCGAATCCGCACGTTCCTGGAAATCGGGCTCGTAGTTGCGATCAATGTGCAATTTCGGGGTCCATGCATCTCCCCCTGAGCGTATCCCCCCTGCGAACGTTGCCCCTAAGGACAGCCAAGGGCCGCGTCGACGACGGCAAGCGGCGGCTGGAGCGACGCGGATGGGGAAAGGCAAGGGCGGAAGAGAGAGGGAGGGAGAGAAAGAGTAAGAGCGAGAGAGAGAGAGAGGGGACGACGACGACGACGACGACGACGACGACGACGACGACGACGACGACGACGACGACGACGACGACGACGACGACGACGACGACATCGACGACGACGACGACGACGACGGCGGCGGCGGCGGCGGCGGCGGCGACGGCGACGACGACGACGACGACGACGGACGGGCAGCAGCACGCGTAGGCGGCAGACGCGGGGAAGGGGGGGGGAGGGGTGCTCCTCCTTTCCCTCCCTCCACCTCCTCATCCTCCTCCTTCTCCTTCTTCTATATGCTCCTCCTCCTCCTCCTCCTCCTCCTCCTCCTCCTCCTGTTGGCTCCAGTTGGCTCCTCCACAAAAGCGTCTGCAGCGCAACCGAATCGCAAACACATGGGGGCAGTCCTGGGCTCCTCCTCCTCCTCCTCCTCCTCCTCCTCCTCCTCCTGTTGGCTCCAGTTGGCTCCTCCACAAAAGCGTCTGCAGCGCAACCGAATCGCAAACACATGGGGGCAGTCCTGGGCTCCTCCTCCTCCTCCTCGTCCTCCTCCTTCCCCTCCTCCGCCTCCCGCCTCCTGTTCCTCCCTCCTCCGCCTCCTCCTCTTCCTCCTACCTCCTCCCTCCTCCTCCTCCTCCTCCGACCTTCTCTTCCATTTCCTTTCCGGCACCTCCTCCTCCTCCTCCTTCTCCTCCTCCTCCTCCTACCTGCTCCTACCTCCTCCTACCTCCTCCTACCTCTTACCTCCTCTTTCTCGTCCTCTTCCTAGTTCCTCATACTTCCTCCTGCTCCTCCTCCTCCTCCTCCTCCTCCAGGACCTCCTACCTCCTAACTCCTCGTCGTCCTCATCCGAACTTATCCTACCTCCTCCTTCTCCTCCTCCTTCTTCTCCTACACCTTATCCTGCTACCTCCTACCTCCTCCTCCTCAGCCTGCTTCTCCTGAGACCCTGACGGCAACAACTGCGACTGAATAAAAACAGCAGGCGCAGAAACATGGATGAGGGGGGAATAATAAGTGCACCCTCGGCCGGGTGATGCATGAAGACATGCTTTGGCCATTCCGTGCCACGAATTGGAGTCGTGTTTTGCATGGCGCCTCACTGCTTCATAGCCGCGCCACTGGCAGTGCACCTTTGACGTGCACGGCTTCTCTCTCGCTCGGCGTGATGACGGTCGCGGTGGCGGTGGCGGTGGCGGTGCGATGGTCAGGCCACAAATCGCCAGAGGTCGGGTGGCGCACGGGCCTTTCCTCCATGATAAAAGGGGTCCCACAGGAGGGACGGCCCCCAGTCACTGCCGTACAGTGGAGGCCCGACCACAAGAAACCTTCCACAAGAAATCCAACCCTGAGGCCTCAGGACATCCTTTAATTTTTGGTGCGTGAGCGCCGCGCTTTCCATGGCAGAACCATCAAATCCCGAGAAACCCAGGGCACCCTGGAGGCAAGCAGGGTGCTTCTTGGCACGGGCCTTCACTGTAAGTGTACCCTCGGCGTGATGGCAAGCGATGCGGTGGCGGTGGAAGTGCGAGGGCGGTGGCAGGCGTGGCCAAGCTACCGCTCGCCAGAGAGGCCCGGTGGCGCAAGGGGCCTCTCCATTCCTCCAGAAGGGGGGGAGGAAGAGGAGAAGGAGGGTGAGGGGGAGGAGGAGGGAGGAGGAGGAGTGGAGTGGAGTGGAGCCCGTTGCGCAAAGCAAGTTAGTGATATGAGCATCGGATTACATAGCACTCGACCGCCTGGCCTTCCGCCCGGCCTGGCTGAGGACTTTCGGCTTCCTGTGGGCCGCAATCCGATCGAGGTATTCCTGCCGATTCTTATTGATCCTACCTGAACGAGGGAGGAGGAGGAGGAGGAGGAGGAGGAGGAGGAGGAGGACGAGAGGAGGAGGAGAGGAGGTAGGGGAGGGAAAGGATGGGGAGGAAGGGGAGGAAGGAGGAGGGAGGAGGGAGAGAGGAGGAGGAGGAGGAGGCGGGGGAACGTCCACGCATCAACTCTTTGCCCCTCGCTGCCAGCCGCCACCACAGGAGGGCGCAGACCTCCCTCTCCTTCCGGTGGGGACCCCATGGGTGGGCACCAGCCGCACATGTGGGAGCCCCCCGCCTGCCTCGGCGGGCCAGGCTTCCACGGCAGTGACTGGGGGCCGTCCCTCTTGGGACCTCCTCCTCCTCCTCCTCCTCCTCCTCCTCCTCCGTCCTCCTACGTCCTTCCCATCCTTCTCCTCCCCTTACCTCCTCCTCCGCCTCCTCCTTCCCCTCATCCGCCTCCCTCCCCCTCCTCCTCCCTCCTCCCTCCTCCTCCTACCTCCTCTTCCTCCTCCGTTCCTCCTCCTCCTCCTCCTCCTCCTCCTCTTCCTCCTCCTCCTCCTCCTCTGCCTCCTCCTCCGCCTGTTATGTCGCATCTTCTGGGGACCTCGTCTTTCCCGCCGCGGCCATATCCGCATAGAATCCGTGTCGAATCCATGTCGGACTCGTCGCGTCCGTGCCGAATCTGTGTCGAATCCACGCCGGATCCACGTCGCGTCCGCATCGAGCCCGCGTCGGGCACATGAGAAGACACCAATTTTGGGGACATGCGAGGCGAGATCCCCCGAGGACGGAACGTAACTCCTGCTCTTTCTCCTCCTTCTTCTCGGGCGATGGCAGAACTGGGTTTAGTGGGACCTGGTTTAATGATGTGTACTAGGGAACGCCCCCCCCCGCCCCATTCCACTAACCAGAACTGCCGTCACCCAAAAACACCAGCTATGGCAGACCTGGTTTGGTGATTCCAATCCATATGTTGGGCTTCGGAGCCGAATCACGAACCGGCTCCCCTTAACCGGGGTCCTGGCTATACCCGATCTTCTCCTCGAGGAGAAGAGGGGAGGATGGATGGGGAGAGCTGAGGAGCCAAGGGCACTGGAGCCGCCAAGACGGTTGATCTCAGGCGGCGGTGCGGCCAAAACCAGGCTGAGACTGCTCGGGGAAGGTGCCTCACACCTGCCTAAGCAAACCGAGCAGCGCCCCCCCCCCCCCGCCCCAAGAGCTTCTCTATGGCCAGAAGCTGCGCCCAAACTTTCTTTTGGCGCGTCGGCCACAAGTAAGGAGCCGAATTCTATACACCGACGCTTTTTCCGGCCCCGCACTGACATTCGCACAGGAAGGCGGATCCTGGTGTATACGGGATCCTGGTGTATGCAGTTTTCGTTGTTTCCCATGGAGAAAAAGGGAACACAGTATACACCACATCACCCCGACGTCGTCCCCGACCCTCAAAAAGTTCTGGGATTGAAAAACGACCCACCACTGGTAATGTGTACGCTACAATTTCCGACCAAGATCTACCGATTGTCCGTTTTGGCCCTGTTGCTCTGGGAACGGAAGGCAAGCAGAAAGACGGGATGACGAACGACAATGAGAAACGACAACAACGCACCCTGAATGGGAGGACTGACTCCTGACCCGCCACCGCTCATTTTGGTCGGACAGCCGCTCTTGCGACAACGTGCGATGGCCTACCCGCGCCCCACAAGCTTACGGATGCGGCATCAGCATCATCATCATCATCATCATCATCATCATCAGCATCATCATCATCAGCATCATCATAAGCATCAGCATCAGCATCAGCATCATCATCATCACCATCATCATCAGCATCAACATCAGCAACACCATCATGAGCATCAGCAACATCATGATCATCACCGTCCTCCTCCTCCCCGACCTTCTCATCCTCGTCGTCGTCCTGGTCATCATCAGCACCACCACCATCATCATGATCCCCATCAGCATCGGCATCAGCATCATCATCATCACCATCATCCTCCTCCCCCTCCTCCTCATCGTCGTCATCATCAGCAGCATCAGCATCAGCATCAGCATCAGCATCAGCATCAGTATCAGCATCAGCATCATCATCATCATCATGATAATCAGCATCATCATCAGCATCGTCATCATCAGCAGCAGCATCATCATCATCAGCATCATAATCATAACCATCTGCATCATGCTCCATCATCATCGATATCACCATCACCATCACCATCACCATCACCATCACCATCACCATCACCATCACCATCACCATCAGCACCACCACAATCACCAGCATCATCAGCATCATACGCAACATCATCACCATCATCACAAGCATCATCATCGGCATCATCACCATCACCATCACCATCATCATCAGCATCAACATCAGCAACACCATCATGAACATCACAATCTTCACCAACATCACCACCATCACCATCATCACCACCACCACTATCATCATCATCATCACCACCACCACCACCACCACCATCATCATCATCATCATCATCATCATCATCATCATCATCATCATCATCATCATCATCATCATCATCATCATCATCATCATCATCATCATCATCATCATCATCATCATCATCATCATCATCATCATCATCATCATCATCATCATCATCATCATCATCAGCAGCAGCAGCATCAGCATCAGCATCAGCATCAGCATCATCATCATGCTGGTGGTGGTTGTGGTGCTGATGGCGGTGGTGGTGCTGATGGCGGCGATGGCGCCCGAACCCTTCTGTGCGCGGCGCGGCGTCGTGCACTCCGTCTCGGCCGCGCCGCGGCCGCCCTGCTGCACCCGCGGCCCGAGCTCGGGCACTCGGTCGCTCGGGCGCTGGCGCTGGCGCCCCTGGGGCTCGGGCTCTGGCTCGGGCGCTGCGCGCTCGGGCCCTCGGGCCCTCGGGCCCTCGGGCTCTCGGGCTCTCGGGCTCTCGGGCTCTCGGCCTCGGGCGGCCGGGCGCTCGGGCGCTGCTGCACGGGTGGGCAGCCCGCGGGGCGGCGAAGCAGGCCGCGCCTGCCGTGCCGCCTTCAGGGCCCCTTCAGGGCCCCTTCCCCGCAGACCTCGGCCCTCCATGGGACCACCCCCCTCCGATGCGAGACGCCCGACGCGCTTCGGGCCTCCTGCAACAGGGTCGCGCAGCCCAGCCAGCGCCCCACGCTGCACTGCGCTGCCAAGATCGGAGCAGCCGCGCCGCCGGCCCAACTGCGTACCCCGCGTCGCGGCCAAGCAGCACACGTGGCGCCGATCACATATGTTTCGTCGCCATCGTCCTCGCCAACTCCTGTCCGAGGAGCGGGGGGAGCAGCGCACGTGTTCTGGCAGGCGCCACACGTGAGCGGCTCTCTTTCCTCGTGGGGAGCGTGGCCCCTTTTCCTCCCCCCCGCCTTCGTCCACTTCCCTCACCTCTCCCCTCCCCTTCCCTCCCTCCCCTCCCTTCCGCCCCCCTCCTCCTCCGCCGCTCCCTCAACGCATCCCCCCCGCCCCGCTCCGTCGCTACCCGACTCCCCCTTTTCGCCCGCCCCCCCACCTCTCTCCCCCAAATATATGCCTCCCTCCCTCCTGCCCTGCTTACAAAATATGCCACCAACCCTCCGCGCCCCTCCAGATGTTGCCCAGAACCCCGGACGACAGGTAGATCAGGAGCCACACGTGGCGCCCCCAAATGGCCTGTCGGCCCGAACATCATCATGATCGCCATCAACTTCCTTGCCGTCGTTGCCGCCACCATCGCCGTCGAAAACGCCATCGTCGTCGTCGTCGCCGCCGCCGCCGCCGCCTCCGCCTCCGCCGCCGTCGTCGTCGTCGTCGTCGTCGTCGTCGTCGTCGTCGTCGTCGTCGCCGTGGTCGTGGTGGTCGCCGTCGTGGTCGTCGATGCTACCGCTGACGTCGAGTTTGACTCGATTACCGCAACCACTGGACCCGAGGCCACTCCCCGAGACCGCCTTTTCATCTCGAGTTGCGTCTGGCGGCCCCGGGACGGGCCCAGGGCGGCCGAAAGCAGAGAAAGGCCTCAGGACCCCCTGTCCTCAGGGCCCCTTGTCTCCGTAGTGATTGTTGCCCTCCCCACCCTCGCTTCTCCTCCCCCCCTTCAGACAGGCTCTGACAGAAAGGCCCTACACCCAAAGACACGGCTGTGACTTCAACACTGCCCACGGCATCCTCTGCGCGAGCTGTCCGTGCGAAGATCCATCACAACGCTCCTGTATCTCCACCTCCCGGGGTCTGCGCCGCTCCCGCTCCCCCTTCGCATGAGAACATGGGACGATGGGGAGGAAGAGGGGAACGACGAGGAAGGGGATCAGACCGAACCCAAGATGCACCCTCGGCGCTGCAATACACGCCTCCGTCCCGAGCCCCCTTCTCTCAGAGTCCGTACACAAGCCTTCCTCTCCCAGTGTGCGAGACGGCCCCTTGAACAAAACATCGCACCAGGGGCCTGCCACTCCGGTGCTGGAGCCCCGTCTCGAGCAGGAGATGCAGGCGAAGGGTGCGAAGGGTGCGAGACGTGTGGTCACACGGTGCAGTGGGGGGTGTCCGGCGAGGTCAGCGCCCTGAGCAGGGCCGCCCACGTCGCGCCGGGGCGCCACGGGTTGCACTTCTGCGGCAGAGCTGCGAGCGCGCACCAACAGGGAGAGAGAGAGAGAGAGAGAGAGAGCCCCATACGAAACAAGGAGGAGCCGCACTGCACCCGTGCAGCTGTTACTGCACATGTTCGGGCCTGCTGTCCTCGAAATGCTGCTCGGCGAAGCCGCGAGCGGGAGCCCCACTGCGAGAAAGAGCCGTCCTCCACGTCTGGATCTGGTCGCATTTCGGGGCGGATGCGCGCGGCGCTGTGGCGACAGGGGTCCATCTCGAAGACGAGCCCCCTGCGTCCCCTGTAGCGGTTGCAAGCTTTCGAACACATGCGCGCCAAGGCGAGAGTCGCGTCTGGAAAAGGACCCAACCTTTCATCACTGTGCACGCTGGTCGGAAGAAGCAGGTCAACACACGAAGCATGACGGCGGACCAAGCAGACTGGCTCCGGGCCCTCCCAGAGAATGACGAGACACACCAGAGGCATATCGCGCCTTGAAGTAGGAAGGCGCCTGCCATAGCTTGGGGCCTGGGAGCCCCGCGATGCCCGCTCTCAGCGACCGACGTGTGACCGCTGCAGGCCTCCAGAAGAAGTTGCGCGGGCGCTCCCTCTCCGTCGCCCGGACCCTCCGCAGCTCGGCTGCTCGTCGCCGTCGAGCTGAGCGGTACCCCGGCCCACCCCGTCTCACCGCAGCGTGGGCCCCCCACGGGAGCGGCGGGAAGAGGGAGGAGAGGGGGAGAGAAGTGTGAGAACGGAGAGGGCGGGGAGGAGGGGGGGGGGCCGGCCACGGTAACGATGGGGCGGAGAGGCGCAGGAGGAGGCGGAGGAGGAGGAGGGGGCGAGGGGAGGAGGACGAGAAGCGAATTCAGAATCAAGCCAAGATGCATCCCTGGTGCGTCAATACACCCTCCTGTCCCAGATCCACTCCCCCCGAGCCTTCTTCTACACGCCGGTCGGAAGAAGTAGAAAAACGTTGGAAGTAGGCTGGGCTTCCGCCCGCCCCCTGACAAGGAGGGAAGGAAGCCAGTCGATCCTTGAAGTAGGAAGGCGCCCTCAATAGATTGGAATCTGGGAATCCCGAAATCAGAGAGAGGGGCGCCCGAACGGGATTATTTCTTCCCTGGGGTTCGCCTGCGGGACGGAGACTGGGCGTGGACACTGGGGATGAACACTGGGGAGGAACACTGGTGATGGACACTGGGGATGAACACTGAGGGGACACCGGGGGGGACGGGCACTGGGGATGGACACTGAGATGGACAGGGGGTGGGCACGCCTCTCTCTCATCCGCAAGTGCGGGGGACTAGGTACCCACTCTCAGCGACCGGCGTGTGCTCTGCAAGAAGCGCCCGCTGAGAAGACGAGCGCCCCCCGGAGGGCCCGCCGTGCAGGCGCGAATGGTCATACAATTCAGCGAGGTGTCTGTCGAGATCTCCGTTTTGAATACCCTCCTCCTCCTCCTCCTCGTCGTCGTCCTCCTCCTTCTCCTCCTCCTCCTCCCTCGGGTCTCGCGACCGATCGGCGGCCAAACGCTGGCCACCTACCACGCCTTGAAACAATAAGAAATGCGCCAGGGTCTGGGCCCCAGGAAGACGTTACTTATCCAGTGCCGCTGCCGTAGGGGCCGCTCCAAGCCGTTTGTCTGTTACACAGATGTTCCACTTATAGCCATGAAGCTATATGGGGAGATGAAACACGATACCCACATTCGGAAAAGGACGCTCCCTCCATTCGTGCAGCTGCTTCACAGGTTCCAACTTCTAGACGTTCGAATTCTGAATCGATATCATCTCCGTCCTTGCAAGTGCTGTAGCCTGGTAGAGTGGAATTTGCGCGGCGCTACCACGATAACCCCATTTTAGAAACGTACCGCCATCCATCCTCAAAATTGTTGCAGACTGTAAGAAACTGGCACTCTCTGAAAAACTCAAGATGCTCGAAATGGCTCCCGCAACAGTCCGGGCAGGCTACCATGGCCGCCAAGATGGCCCAAGGTGCGTCCAAGACGTCCCAAAATGACCCCAAGACGGCCCACAATGGCCTCAGGACTGCCGAAGAGGCTTTCCAGACGGCCCTAGAGGGGTGCAAGAGGACGTCAAGTAGGGCCCTACGGCCAAACAGACGGCCGAAGAAGCCTCTCAGATGGCCTGAAGACGGCCCACGGGAGCCCTAAGAGGGCCCCAAGACGGACCGCGATTGTTCCGAGACGGCCCAAGAGTGGTCCAAGAGTACCCCAAGCCGGCCCAAGGTGGCCCTCAGACGGCCATCGAGGCCATCACGAGGGCCCCACGACGACCAAGAGGGTCCCTTCAAGACGGACTCTGAACGTGCCCAGACGGCCCAGGGAGCCCCCAAGAGCCTTCTAGGCTGCCCCTGGACGCTGCCAAAAGGCCCAATGAGAGACCCCTGAAATGCCCCCAAGCCGCACCATCAGGCCCCCAGGGCTTTCGAGAGGCCCGAAGTATCACACGATACGGCCTCCCGTGACTCCTTGACGAATCACCACCCAGAACGCTGCGCTGGCACAGCGGCGGACTTATCAGGGAGGCAGCTGGAAGAGTGGCGTCGCAGTCTCGAGCGAAACGCCTAGACCGCCCTGCCGACATGCCTGATGGCGCGACAAGAGCGGATTTGTCTGTACGCTCTCGGAAACCCTGGACCCCAAAAACGTTATCATCCTGAGGGGGCGCATCTTTTACTTCCGCCCCCTTGCGCCGCCCTTCCTCCAGCTTCCGCCGGCGGAGGCGGCCTCGTTTTCCTTCCGCCGATCTTCCGCCGCCCTTCCGCCGAGGAGGAGCTGGCAACTCCTTCTATCCTCGAAGGCACGACCCTTCCTGGAACGCCTCTCTTTTTTACAGCGCAAACTCTTGGGAGAAGCAGGAGGGGCATGATGGAGGGGACGATCGCGCAAAGCCATCACGTACACGACCGTTGCCCTTTGATCAGTCATGGAACGCCTCATCTTGTGAACGTTCTATTATTCGGCGCTTCGACATTGGGAGGAAGAGGGGGTGGGAAGGGGAGGGGGGGTCTGGCTCTGGACCTCTGCTGCTTGCGACTGTTTGCAACAGTGCGTCCCATGGGGGAGACGACACCTGCCTGAAAACGGCCTGGGCCCCCCGGCGGCGCCTCCGCCTCCGGCGCCGCCACTGGCGCGCTCCGCGCGCCAGGGAGGGGGGGTCCAGCGCGGATCCAAGAAATTCGCGCGGAGCGCCAAACGTTTATGTCTATGTTGTTTCTTCGATGTTAAAAGGAGGGAGG